AAAGAGTGGAGGTTCGATCCCTGGTCCAGGAGCTAAGATCCCACATGCCTCATGGCCAAAAAAACAAAACATAAAACAGAAGCCATGTTGTAACAAACTCAATGAAGATTAAAAAAAAAAAATGGTCCACATTAAAAAATCGTTTAAAAAAAAAAAAAAGTTAAATAATAGTCATACAGCCAAAAAGAGGTGGTGAAATTGAACCCAGGATTTGGACCCAGGACTGGCTAACTGAAGACCCACATCATGAAGGGAATCCCCGTGGGTGAAGAAGTGTGTGGCCTGCCATGTTGAAGAGTCACATGTGTTTCCCCTGTGAGGCAAGGCTTTGCAGAGAGAAAAGCCTACAAGGCTGCTGCCTTATCCAGATGAAGAATCTGAGGCTCAAAGAGGAAACAACTCACCCAAGTTCGTCCAACTAAAAGAGGGCAGCAATGGGCCAGGAATCCCGCTCTACTGCACGACAGTGGGGACATAAGTGGTTTGAGGAGCAATGTTCATCCCTGATTGCAATAAGCCTTAGAGACAGAAGCATATCAGCAGCGAAGGGCAACCTAACCATTACTTATATTCATTAAAAGGGCATTAAATTGAAGGGACACACGCCGGCCATCAGTTACCAGCCAGTGCTCTGACAGCCTCACCACCCTCTGTGAATCCGGCTGGGCTTGTGGGGGGCACATAGAGCAGCCCCTCGCTCCCTGGCTCTTTACTAAAGTGCTTAATTGTCCGAGAGAAAACACCCAGCACTCCTGCCCGGCTCCGGGTGAAGCTGCAATAAACTAACTGAAACTAAATGGCTTGAATCTTCACAGGGAAGGCAGCCACTCGCAGGAAAATATAGAACACATGTTCATTCAACAACTATTTGTTCAGCATCTTTTATGTGCCAGGCACGGTGCTATGAGCTATGAATATGACCACAACCAAAGCAAGTGAAAGGCCCTGTCCTCGTGGAGATGGTATTTGTGGGAGGATGGAAATCTACCCTCTACAACTCACAGGTGCAAAAAAGTATAGGTTCTTTATTTTTTATGTGACAGGTTTTTTTTCTTGTGTCTCATCTATTTATTAATAAGACAAAATACAAACCTGATTATTAACAGTAATTTAGTCTCTTCCAGTTTGAAAGTCTCAAATGAGTTAGTACTTACTATTTTTTGAGTAAAAGATTCCTCTTTCTGTGCCTCTACCCCTTCCTTTCTTCAATACGGTGTATAGGTGTTGACCAATCCACACATATGGATCCTTGTGCTGTTCTTGGACTGTGACCTAAGAGGTCAGGGAACAGCACATGGACCTCGTTGATTCAGCAGTAGGGTGGAAAACCCTAGGATATCTTGGTTTGGGAGAAGGAAAACCCAACTGCAGCCAGCTGGCAGAGCCCTAGCCATACCTCCTCAGCACTCCAGCCGTGCTCCAAGCATAATTACTGCAGCTGTAATCCAAAGGACCTGGCCACTGGAGCATGCTTGGCGCATGTGCTGGACAAGGCAGTAGTACTAGTAATGTAATGCCCACAAAAGTACCCTTCAACCAATGAGCAGCCAGCATCTTCACCCATTGTATAGAATAACTCTGAGGGTGTTCTTAATTGCCTCCTAGAGTTCCCCAGTGGAATTCGGCTCCAGTTGCCTCAGTGGTGATTATTTGACCACACATGATTTTGTTGGCAGCCTTTCCTTCTCTGTCTCACTCCCCACTCTACTATCAGCACTTTCTGGGATCATCCCCCACCCCCCACCAAATAAACTAGTTGGTCTCAAATCTGGACCCAGGATCTGCATCTGAGGGAACCCTGAGACATCATCCATTTAATATTTTTTTAAATGTCGTATTCATTATATATTTTATTGGGAGATGATAGATAATAAATATGATAGAAGCTCTTTTTTCTCATGTTATCAAGAGAGATATTTGATCAGTGCATTAAAAATATTAGTTCAGGGACTTCCCTAATGGTCCAGTGATAATCATAAGATACATGCATACCTTAAACATTTTGTTGTTCTTGTCTAGTCACCAAGTCGTGTCCAACTCTTTGTGACATCATGTATTGCAGCACGCCATGCTTCCGTGTCCTTCACTATCTCCCAGAGTTTGCTTAAACTCACGTGCACTGAGTCCGACTATCTCATCCTCTGTCATCCCCTTCTCCTCCTGCCTTCAATCTTCCCAGCATCAGTGTCTTTTCCAATGAGTCAACTCTTTGCATCAAGTGGCCAAGGTTTGGAGCTTCAGCTTCAGCATCAGTCCTTCCAATGAATATTCAGGGTTGAAAACACTTTAGTCTAATTTAAAATAAGTAAGTGTACAGTTAGGTGACAATTTTTTGACATAGGGTTAATCTTCAGAAACTCTTGCAGTGCTCACTAAGGCTTCGGAGGGCAAAAGTGAGTGCAGATATGCTTGGGGAGAGTTTGGAAAGGCAAGAGGCTGACAGAAGGGAATTGATCAGTGGCATGGCACAGCCAGTCCTAGAACTCAAGGTTTTCAAGTCTGGAGACTTGTAAGACCAAGGCATGTCAAGGGAGGATGCCCCATGCTTTTTTTTTTTTTTTTTGCCCCACGCTTTATTTATTTATTTTTTTTTAAATTTATTTTATCACAACCATAGTGTATCTTTTTTTTTTTTTTTTTTTTTGCCCCACGCTTTAAATGGAGTCAAAATTGCAGTGAAACTGGCTGGTCACCAGCATTTCCAGGAGTCCAGGGGCAATGGGTGGTCATGTTTCCCAGCAACACTACTACAAAGAGGTGGGCAACTGCTGTGTAGTGTCACATTGCAGGCCAGCTACTCTGGAGGAATTGGACCTGACCCACCCACTGACCCACAGAGACAAAATTCAGAGGGCTCCCAAAAAGGGGGTAAGAAGGAGCTGCCTCCTAGAATAGTGTGTTACTTTATGGCAGGGTCACAGGACATCCATGTGGGAGGTTTTTACAGATCACCCCACCTCCAACCATTGTATGGATGGACCTCCTATGGAGCAAAGTGGAGAAAAGGCTTGGGACAAATTTTATATTTCTTATAAGGAGCATAAAGGGCTTTCCTGGTAGCTCAGTGGTAAAGAATCCGCCTGCCAATGCAGGAGACATGGGTTCAATCCCTGAGTTGGGGAGATCCCCTGGAGAAGGAAATGGCAACCCATCCTGTATTCTTGCCTGGGAAATCCCATGGACAGAGGAGCCTGGCGGGTTACAGTCCATGGGGCTGCAAAGTCAGACGTGACTTAGCTACTAAAGAACAACAACTTAGTGATTAAACAACAACAACAACAAAAGGAGCACAATAATTCACACGACTTAAAGTGGTTTCATGGTTCCTAATGATCTTCCCCAAGGCCCTCCTAGTGCTCCCCATCTTCATTCTGGAAATGGAGCCATGATTATGTGACTCAAGCCAGGCCAGTTAGTGATATCTGGAATTTTTCCTATCAGAGCTGAGAAATAGATGTTCTCTATCCTCCAGGAGCTACTAAAGCTGGAAGGCTAAGATGCTGGAGTTGCCAGAGGCCACATTCTCCTCCAAGTAGAGAAAGACCATCTGTGAGAGGCAGGAATGACTCCAACAAGCAAAGAGCAGCAGAGAGAAGAGAGAGAGAAAAGTCTGACAGTGTTTGCATGTCTAAACCCAGTCCTTGCCGGGGTCAGCTCCACTCTGTACTGTCCATGGTTTGGTTACGTGAGCCAATACATCCCTTTTTCATGCTCAAAGTAGTTAGAGTTGAGTTTCTATCGCTTCAAACAAAGAGTCTTTGACTAACACAGATATTCTTGGTGATAGAAAAGATGAGGAGACTTCAAAAGGCCTCCAGGCAACAGATGTTTACAGGCAGGAGCTGGGACAAGAGAGGAAGAGCCAGAGAGAGACTGCACATAGGAAATACCTTCTGGGGACTCCTAGGAATACATATACCCCTGCTTAATTCTTTTCACACACACACACACAAACACACACCAGGAATAAAGGGGAAAAAGAGCCTTGAGGAAAAGATAGTTACAACACAACACTCTTGAGTCAGGTACTTTTTTTTTTTTTTCCAACTGTTTTCTTTCTTTTCATCTGTATCCATTTTCTCCAATCACAGTCATTTTTTGTCTCTAGCTGTTTTTTTGGGGGGTGGGGCGGGTTGTGCTGGGTCTTTATTTCAGTGCGCAGGCTCTTTATTGCAGCATGCGGGCTTCTCTCTAGCTGTGACAGCTGAACTTAGTTGCCCTGTGGCATGTGGGATCTTAGTTCCCCAACCAGGGATCGAACCCATATCCCCTGCATTGGAAGGCGGATTCTTAACCACAGAACCTCTGGGGAAGTCCTTGAATCAGGTACTTATTATTTAACCTCCTTGTAATGCCCAGCCCCTCAGTGTATTCTCTCACTCTATAAGACAGCAAAGAAAATATACACTTTAGCTATTATTCTGACTCTTACTCTCTCTTTCCTGAATCATTTCTAAATTAATTTATTACCTTTTATAACCTTATATAACCATAAAAGCTAGAACAGATCCATTCTCTATGAGGAATGGCACAATTCGTATCTCTTCTCAAACAGAAGGCCTCATGTGCATGTAAAAGCTGGAACATAAAGCACTGGGGTTATTTGTCAATCCAAGAGCAGGCCTCAGCCTGGTGGGCAGAGGAGGGAGCTTAGAAAAATGAACTTGGGATCCATGTGTTATTTCTTTTTTATTCTTGGGAAGAAATGTTAGTTAATTGAGAAAAATGAGTGTAAGTTTTTCTAAAGCCCTGTTCTTGGAGCAAGGGGAGGACTTCATTGTGTGTAGAGTCATCATTTGAGGCTTAATTGTTCTTTAATACTTCGAGATTGAAGGGGAAATATGGAGGAGGCTTTGTAAAGAGGTCTTGAGGTCTTGCATGAGTAAAAAATGCTGAGAAGAGACACCATGGGCTTTTGATAAATGAAAAGATTAGATTGTTTTTTCAGGAGTATCTCTTCCTTCCCCTCTTACCTCCATGGATGGAGTATACTTCCTTACCCCTTGGCTTTGGGCTTGGCCATGAGACTTGCTGTGGCCAAAGGGTTTGAGGTGTACTTGTGCAGCGGAATACCCTCTCTCATAATTCAGCCATCATCAGGAGAAAATCCTGTTCTGGTTAGCCCACTGGTTCAAAGAGGAGAATGAGAAAAACATGGAGCAGAGTCACCCAGCTACCAAGAAACTCACAACCCCAAACCAAATGCTGTTGTATCGCACCTAGAGTTTGAGGTTAATAGTTTTGTGGTATTACCAGTGCAATAGCTAATGGATATAACACATTAGTGTGATTTCCCTTGAACAGGAAAACTAGTGAAGACTGGCAACATCTGGGTTATTTTACTAACAAAAAACACTCCTGACATGAGTGACCCTTTTATTATTACTGGTGGAAGTGGAATCAGGAGTTAGGGAGAGAATGATGGAGTTTTAGCCCTGGGACCTCACAGCACAATTTCGCCTATCTGATCCAGGTCGTGGAGTTTGAAGCCAGCATATTCATGGATGTGGTTTGTTGGGAGAGGCAACCCACCAGGCCCTATGCCTTCATGCATTTTCTTGCTGGATATGCGAAGAATGCAAGGCACTGATTGCCCTCTACCCAGGCCGTTTCTCAGGATTGTGTTTGTAGGAAGCAACCTTACAGAATGAAATAATATCTTCCCCAGACAAAGAGTTGACTCATTACTGTTGATGATAAAAGTGGTAGATTCTCGAAGCTCAGTAGTCGCTCCTGTAACACAACTTAGCTGTGTGTGCAGGCCCACCTGTATCACCTCCTTGGGCCTTGGGAAACATGGGGAATCAGAGTAAGCCTGACTGTCTGGCTACACTTTCTCTGTAAGGGGCTCTGCCTGAAGACTCTGTTTTCTGTTAGCACCTAGGAAGCAGGCTAGCTTCGCCGCTTGTAAGTAGGGTAAATTCACAGACCCTTCATGGCTCCTGACTTGAATCATCTCTCATGAATGTTAATTGTCCCAAAGCTCTACACAGGAATAAAGTTTGTGAACTCTTCCAGAGAGCAGGATCTCCCCCACCCAGGGCAACTTTTCAGCACCAACTTGGGAAAGAGAACTTCATAAATTCTCAAATGTAAAAGTTAGAAGGGACCATTGTGATCAGCAGAAAAGCTTAGCGCAGTGATTCCCAGAAGGTGGGATGAACCCTTATGGGTCACAAGATGATTTTAGATGATATGTGAAAGAGCATGATTTTAAATTTCAGAAGCACTTGTTTATAATATGCATAAGAAAAACACTTCGAAGTATTCCTCTTTAAAGACATATTTTAAAAAAAATAGATTAACAGAAATATAAGTTGTTGTTCAGTCGTTAATTTGTGTCTGACTCTTTGTGACTCCATGCACTACAGCACACTAGGCTTCCCTGTCCTCCACTATCTTTTGGAGTTTGCTAAAATTTCTGTCCATTGAGTCAGTGATGTTATATCTTCTGCCACCCTCTTCTTCTTTTGCCTTCAATCTTTCCCAGCACCAGGGTTAGGCAAGGCTAAAAGTATGTTTAAGTTAGGCTGGGATTATTTAAAGGCTGGAATCAGTAAGGACTCTTGACCACAGCATCTACACATAGCTCTTCTACTTTGCTTGGGCTTCCTTATAGCGTGGCAGATTCAGGGTAGTCAGACACCTTGCACAGTGGCTCAGGGCTTCAAGAGCAACCCCTAGGAGAGGTCATTAGGATAAGTCCTAATTCAATATGACTGAAGTCCTTACAAGAAGAGGAGATTAAGACACAGGCTCACATATGTGAAGACACAGGAAGGCCATCTATGAGCCAAGGAGAGACTCCTCAAAAGAAATGAATCCTGCCAACACCTTGATTTCATACCTTTAGCCTCCTGAATTGTGAGTAAATTTCTGTTGTTTAAACCACTCAGTCTGTGATACTTTGTTGTGACAGCCCTATCAAACTAATACAGGAGTCTAGAGCAAAGCAAAGAGATCTTAGATGTGACACTAACAGCGTGATCCACAAAAGGTAAAATAGATAAATTGGACTTATTAAAAACTTGCTCTGGGAAAGACCTTGTTAAGAGGATGAAGGCACAAGCTACAGACTGGGAGAAAATTGGTGCAATTCACATATCTGAAAAGGGACTATGCAGAATACATAAGAATTTCAATACTCAACAGTGAAAAAAAATCCAATTAGGAAATGAAAAAAAGACATTAATAGACATTTCACCGAAGAAGATAAACAGACTGTAAATAAGTACACGAGAGATGTTCAACATTATTAGCCATGGGGAATTGTAAGTCAAAACTATAATAAGACATGCCTATCAGAATAGCTAAAATGAAAAATAGTGGACTTCCCTGGGTGGTCCAGTAGTTAAGAATGTGCCAGCCAATGATGCAGGTTCAATCCCTGGTCTGGGAAGATTCCACATGCTGCAGGGCAACTAAGCCCATGGGTCACAACTACTGAGCCCACAACTACTGAAGTCCATGCGCCTACAGCCTGTGCTCCACAGTAAGAGAAGCCACTGCAATGAGAAGTGCTCACACTGCAACTAGAAAGTAGTCCCCACTTACTGCAGCTAGAAAAAGCCCACGCATAGTGATGAAGACCCAGCAGAGCCAAAAATAAAAACTGAAAAAATAAAGATTAAAAAAAAGAAAAGTGACAATGGCAAATTCTGGTTAGAGTGCAGAGGAATCAGATCAACGTTGTTGGTAGAAATGTAAAATGGTACGGCTACTCTGAAAATTGTTTTGGTAGTTGCTTACAAAACTAAATATACAATTATTGTACAATCCAAACTCTTTGGAAGAGCCCCACAGTAGAAACAGCCCAGATGTCTTTCAGTGGGTGAATAGTCAAAAAAAAGAAGCTGTGATGTGTCCATGTCACGGCATACTAGTCAGCGAAGGAAGAGGCTGTTGATGCACGCAACAATCAGGATGAACCTCTGGGAATTAGGCTGAGTTAAAAGGTTAACCCAAAAAGGTTACATACTTTATGATTCTATTTGTACAGCATTCTTCAAATGACAAAATTATAGATGTGTGAAACAGAATAGTGGTTGCCAGGAGCAAGGAAAGACGAGGAGGGGGAGGCGGTGTGGTTGTAAAAGGCAACACACAAGAACCTTGTGGAGATGGAGCTGTTCTGCACATTGACTGCGTCAGTGTCAATATGCTGGTGGTCGTTTCACACCACAGTTTTGCAAGATGTTACCATTTGGGGAAACTGGATAAATGGTACATGGAATCTTTCAGGATTATTTCTTATACTCACATGTGAATCTATGAATATTTTGTGTTAAACGAGAGAGAGAACGGAAAAGATTTCTTTACTATTGTAATAAGATCTCCCTGTTAAGCAAAACAAAAAAAGGGTCAGAAGAGAGTGTTTGCTTGCATGGAGAAATCTGGGAGGATACATACAAAACTAATTCAAGTGATTCCCTGAGGAATCCCCGAGGGTAAGGAGAGGTGGATGCGGAAGGGAGCAGGTGGGAGAAGTATATCCATTTTGATAATGTTGGCCTTTTTAGCTTTTGAGCCATGTGAAAAACAAGAAAAACAAACAACAAAAACAGATTCTTCTAGCTGCTGTATAGAGAGTAGATTTAGAGGGACCACAGGAGACTTGAAAAGGCCAGAAAGACTTCACCTAGCTAGAGAATAGCAGAGTTCTTCAATAGCACACTCTTCAATGCAGCATAATCTGCCTTTCGTGGGTTTTTCTTTTTTTTTAATTTTATTTATTTATCTATTTTTGGTTGTGCTGGGTCTTCGTTGTGGTTCGCGGGCTTCTTATTATAGTGGTTTCTTTTGTTGCGGAACATGGGCTCCAGGGTGTGAAGGCTTCAGTAGTTGCAGCACTTGGGCTCAGTAATTGTGGCACACAGGCTTAGTTTCCCCATGGACTAGGGATCGAACCCATGTCCCCTGCATTGACAAGCAGATTCTTACATGCTAGATCTCCAGGGAAGTCCCTATTATTATTACTTTTTTTAAATCTTTTGACTGCACAGCATAGCATGTGAGATTTTGTCTTCCCGACCAGGGATTGCACCTACACTCTCTGCGTTGGAAGCTCTGGAAGCTCGGAGTCTTAACCACTGGACCACCAGGGAAGTCCCATAACCTGCCTTTTAAAACAAATCTGTTGACCCCCGCTTAGAAAGGTTTTTCACCTGCAGGATTAGGAACAGCAGCCCAGCATGACGCTGAAGACATTTCACAATGTGATTCCCAGCTGATCTTCCCAGGCTCATCCTCTCTCGCCACCCCTTGAATCATGATGTTCTTTTTATCTGAACACTGGAAGTACTGTCACACCTCTGTGCCTTTGCCCATGCTGTTCCTTCTGCCTGGAATGCCCTTCCGGTATACATCATCCTTACAATCTCCGACTCCTTAAGACCAAATTCAAGGTTCTCCGTCCTTGGAGGCTTTTCTGACCCATCCATCTCCTAAAGTCCCAAACACAATTAATTGCTGTCTGTTGACTAACTGCCATTTTATCCCTTGTGACATTGGCATACACTCAGGTGTGAGTTTAATTAATTGTTTTTATTTATTTTTATTTATTTATTTGTTTATTTATTTTACTTTACAATATTGTATTGTACCCACCTCCCTCCCCATCCCATTTCTCTGGGTCATCCCAGTGCACCAGCCCTGAGCACCCTGTCTCATGCATCAAGACTGGACTGGCAATTCATTTCATATATGATAATTTACATGTTTCAATGCCATTCTCCCGTATCATCCTGCCCTTAATTGTTTTTGAATAATTAATTGATTTGCTTAATATCCTTCTCCCCTGCTAGACTGCCAGTTCCAGGAGGGTAGGGACCAGGTCTGTCAAATAATCTTACTGACTGAGGCAGTGTCTAGGACCCTGGAGCTTACAGCTAAGGGGTTCTTGGAAAGGCTTGGGATCTTGAGCCCCCATTTTCTTTCTCTCTTTTTTTTTTCAGCTGTAATACCAGACATGCGGGATCTTAGTTCCCAAACCAGGGATCGAACCTGTGACCCCTGCAGTGGAAGCACGCAGTGCTAACCACTGGACTTCCAGGGAACTCCCTTGAGCCCCCATTCTCTTAAAGA